TGATTTTCTCCCATTCTTTCTCTATCTATTTTCCCCCTGAATGAGAGTCTGAGATAGGTTGGGGAGATATCACAGTCACCCATTACATCCATTATGAAGGGGACACTGCTCTGGTATCAGAGAAGCTAGAAGGTGATGATAGCTGGTCTTACTGCCTACACATCTGAAAGAAATCAACAAACTTCATACTTTGGTTTCAGCTGGAAGGCTTTCTGGGAATCAGTGTATGATTTAAATGTCCACAGAAGAGGATCAACCATGCCAATGTAAGCCAACTTCAAACATGTCAAAGAAGGAGCTAAAGCTTCTTAAAATCTGCAGGATGTCAGTCACCTGTTAGCTTCCCAGGATATAACTGTTATGCAACAAATGTAATGGCAAGCCCTGAATTAATTTTCATCTTTGGTTCATATGTGTCCTGAATCTTACTTTCAAGTGGTGATGGTTAAATACCTAGGATATCTGAAAGGTTAGTCAAGGTTCCATTCTCCCATTAACCCAGGTATGCAAATTAGACTAATGTTAATCCTTGGCTCACAACACACACACTATTGTCCTGTGGCTTTTCTTTCTTTCTTTTATTTTTTTTTCTATTTATATCATTCTTCCATTTGTTAACCTAAATTTTCTGATAGTTACTGTCCTCCAAATTGATTTTCTATTGACCTTAGTATATTTATCTATTAAATAAGTTTAGAATATGTGATATCTATGGTCTCCTTCTCTATGATGATCTATGAATGAGATTAAGACTTGAAATGTGTTTGGCCCAATGCCTGGCATATAACAAGTGCTTAATAAATGGTGGTTATTCCCATAATTTATAATTATTACTAAATTTGATGAACTTTCACTATCAATTTGATATACTGGAAAGATCCTATAGATAGACACTTCAATTAGGCAGTGAAGTGTCGAATAGCCTTTTTTCCTTGGTTAGCTTCAAACTGCCCATTATTCATTTATCATTGATTCATAGAAACTTGGGCTAAAAGTAATTTTTTTTTTTTTTTTTTTTTTTGGTTTGGTACCTGGGATTAAACTCAGGGGTACTTAACCACTGAATCACATCCCCAGCCTTTTTTTTTTTTTTTTTTTTTACAGTTTATTTAGAGAGAGGGTCTTATTGGTTTTGAACTCATAATCCTCCTGCTTCCTAATCATCCCCAGCGGCTGGGATGATTAGGCTAGACATGTGCCACTGTGCCTTGGCCTAAAAGTGGTTTTTTTTTTTTTTTTTTTTTTTTTTTTTTTTTTGTGCTGGGGATTGAACTCAGGGGCACTTGTCCACTGAGCCACATCCCCAGCCCTATTTTATATTTTATTTAGAGACAGGGTCTGAGTTGCTTACTTAGCACCTTGCTGTTGCTTCGGCTGGCTTTGAATTTAAGGTTCTTCTGCCTCAGCCTTGCAAGCCACTGGGATTACAGGTGTGTGCCACTGTGCCCAGCCCTAACACTGTTCTTAAAGATAAATTCCCAGCAGAGGATGTAGCAGAGGAAGAAATGTGCTATCTTATAAGACAATCTCTTCCCAGAATAATTCTGGTTTGCACAGTTTCAAGATATACCTATATGGAGATCTTGTTCACTCCTCTCTCTGTTAAACTACTTAGATTTTCCTTAATTGCATTTCACCGAAATTTGCTTTTAGAGTTGTCAGGGACTTTGGCATATAGGCCAAACACTAGTGGGCCCTCATTATCAGGTAATATGTTGCGGAGTAGAAAACAGGAAAAAAACTTAAAACCGCCTGATTTCCTACCGTATGGCATGTCAGAGAGAGAAAGCCCAGGGTCAAAGTTGGCAGTGCCATTCTTTATATACTAAAAGGAAGCATTAGTGCAAGACTTGTATTACAAATTCTTCTCTAATATTAGTGACATTTTGCATTAACCACTACTAGTCTATCAGTTCCATCTCCCTTTGGCAGCTGAAATACTGGCAATAGGAATTTCCTAACCTACAGAGCATAGAGTGGTGAAGTAAGACAGCCCTTTGCAACTCTTGATCCTTATCTGGAAGCTTGGCCAAAGGGGTTCTATCCAAGGAAGTTCACAATTCATTAAGGTACATCCCAAAGCAGAAAGAAGACTGTCCCTACTCATCAGTGGAGAGGGACTTTGTTATCATTTAGGTTTAGGAATCACACTTTTTGAGAATGCATTTACAATGGAACTGGAATATATTTGCTAAAGGGAAATATTTCATTTTATTTCTTGTAAATAAAATGGGGATCAAACACATGGTCACTTTACCATGGAGCTACATCCTCACTCCTTTTTATTTTGTATTTTGAGATAGGGTCTCCCTAAATTGCCCTGGCTGGCCTTGATCTTGTGATTCCTCTACCTCAGTCTCCTGAGTCACTGAGATTATAAGAGTGTGCCGTCATACATGGCTGTATGCTTTACAGATGAACAAAGTCTCCAAATCTTAAAAAACAAACAAACAACAATAGCAAAACAGAGCTAGGTTTTTCCCTTCTAAATACATATGCATCCTAAAGGAAGAATATGTTCTTTGAGTAAACTAAACCTAGGCCTAAGGATTAGCTTACAACATAGAAAACTTGTTTTCCCACTTCATACCTCATTTTCCAATTTTCTCTCATGTTCAATGTAGTGAGTGTTATGCTTGTGTGTGCCAAGCAAGGCATGTAAAGTGTTAGTGGAAAGAAAAAAAAAAAAAGACAGCATGGAGGGAAAATATTAGCAAGCAATTTGGCCAGCCCTAGGAAACAACCTCTAGGCCTCAGGAGACACAGTGCAGTAGTGATTCCTCTTCATTTCATTCAGAAGTTGAAGGCCAGAGACAACATAGCCTTCAAAGGAGAACACTTTGTGTTGTCTTCGTAGTCCTAAACAATAACACCCAGAGTCTCAGAGAGAAATCCACAGGCCTTGCTGCAAAATTCGCTCATAAAATGCCCGTGGAGTGGCCCCCTCCTCTGGATTGTGGTCAGACAGACTTTCCCTCCCACCTGAGAGCAAAAGGCCAGGATACCTAAAGAAAGACTAGCTATCCCTCCTATGTGCATTAAGACTTAGATCTTGATTGAACTTTTCTAATTCCATCTGAAACCGACAGCTTCTAGTGAAATAAATCCACATCCCTATGCACAGATACAGATGGTCACTCTGACAATTAACAGTGATCTAATAGATTGTGAACTTTTTAGACTCCATTCAGTAATACAGTACTATAACATTCTGAAATGGACCATAACATGCTATAACTTGCCATAACATATCATGCCTGAAGATACCATGACATATGATAATATAAAATAACATGTGACACCATACAATAACATGCTACAGTGCACCATGAGGTAACTTACTGTAACACGTCATAATATACAATGGTACAGTATATGTCCAAAGGGTCTGGCCAGTAGCCAGACCATATCAAAACTCTAAAGCCCAAGGGCAGTGTATATGCTTTTCCACCTAATAATAATAATAATTATTATTATTTTATCATTATAAGCTACATTTATTCTAGAAGATTCAGAGTGTGAATTCCAATAATCTTTTCAGCCTCCCCTGCTCCTTTCTCCAGCTTCCAACATAATATGATGTGGTACATGCTAGATACTAAAAAAAAAAAAAAAAAAAATGTGGTCAATTCATCAAATACATGAATAAAAGACGTACTCTTCTGCAAATAACTTAGTTCTTCTGATTCTTTACTTCTTCATCAAACAATGTGGGGATGATATTACTTTGTGGTTTTATTTGCAAGATTCAATAAAGCAGCATACTTTATGCAATGCATAAAACGTCACAAAATGTTACATGTTCCAAGGTGCTAGTGGAATTGAAGTATGTTTCTGATAACAAAATCATTGTATAACGGGTTAATCTCAAACATTCAACTAATGCTTAGAAAGAAGGATAACAGGAATGAAAGGAGAAGAGGGGAAAAGGAGGTGGGAGTCAGGGATCTAGTGTCTAATTTTAAGGCCAGTTGAATTATTTAATAAGGGTTAATTTTTCCTTTTATAATAAGTCAACTTGCCCTCCTTAACTCCAATGGAAAAAGAGGTTGTAAAAGCGAAGCAAGAGGGTTAAATCCCAGTTCCCTCCTGCCTTCTGCAGTCCCAGTGCCGTGATGCAGTAATGAAGGCGGTTCTGCCACATATTTCATCCCAACTTCCTCGGTGGTCCTTTTTTTTTTTTTTTTTTTTATCAAAGACTATCAGGTTCCAGGGTTGTGCTTGGAAAAGTTGGAAAACTTCTCCCTTGGTGGAGAAAAAGAAGCACTCATCAGATGCAATCCAACAAACGAATGAAGTTATTCCCTTGATCCAACATGTCCATCGACTTGCATTCCAAATATTCATTGAAATATCTTTCCTGAATTCATGGCTGAAATTTCACTCTCCTGTGGCGCTGCCTTGTATCAGATGCGCAGATTTCGAAAGTCGGCAGGCAATTGACTTGGCTTTGGAGCCTCGGCGGTTGGCTTTTGTAGGAGAGGATGCGACTTACTGTCCCGGGTGGTAGCTTCTCCTGGGAGTAGAATTTGCTAAATACACAGTTGCTGAAAAGCATGAAGAATTCGCGAAGTAAAAATCTCGGGTTATTGGTTCAGCAACTGACACACAAGTGACCTTCTTAAATGCTTAGTTGTTTAAGGACGTTTAGTGAGAGGATGAATGAATCTTCGGGGCACTTAACGCGTACCAGCGTGTAAATCTCGTTAGTCTTTCGGGAAGTAGTGCTAAATTAATACAAATCCAGCCAGGAGGAGAGAAAAGGAAGTAAAACCGCGATCCTGGAGTTTTCCTCCCAGCCCTTTGGAAAGACTCGCCTTTTGCTGCCCGGGACCCTGGAGGATTACGGCTGGGATAAGCCGGAGGCACTAGGACCTGGTTGGTGCCTGGCTGCGGCCGCGTTGGGGAGGGCGGAGGAGCGAGAGGAGGAGAGCGCGGTGGGAAAGGAGGGGTGATAGGGGGCGGGGGAGTCATTTATGCAGAGCAGGCGCTGCTGCCATTGCCACTCACAGTCCCCGCGCGCAGCTCGGAGCCGGAGAGAGCGCAGGAAGCAGGGAAGCGCTCGGAGCCTGGGCCAGCAAAGGGGGCGCCCAGTCGCTGCCTGCACTGCCCTGGCTGATCGTCTCAGCCGCTCTCTGGGGCCCAGAGAGGAGCTAAAGCTAGTCTGGGAGTCTAGGAGCCGAGCCGGCGAGACACTACTGCTGAGGGCGCCAGCTCCACTTCGCCGCCTTTTGCTCCGGAGCCGGGAATCTCTCGCTGACCGCCCCGCCGGTCGGAGAGCGGCGAGCACTGGTCCTTGCAGCCCCAGGGATGGTCTAGGAGCTGGCGCGAGGCTAACTGCTTTGCTCTCTGCTGGGGCTTGCCGCCTCCTGCCGATCTCCGGAGGTTGCGCGCCTGGGCGGCCCAGGCCGGAGAAGTTAGTTGTGCGCGCCGCTTAGTGCGCAGAGCCAGCGATCTTGCGAGCGAGCGAGCCAGTAAAGGGAGCCGCGAGGCGAAGGGACCATGGGCTGGGGGGGCCGCTGCTGCTGCCCGGGACGGCTGGACCTGCTGTGCGTGCTGGCGCTGCTCGGGGGCTGCCTACTCCCCGTGTGCCGGACGCGCGTCTACACCAACCACTGGGCAGTCAAAATCGCCGGCGGCTTTCCGGAGGCCAACCGCATAGCCAGCAAATACGGATTCATCAACATAGGACAGGTAACTAATGTCGGGGGGGACCCTCCGCCTGGAAGCTCTTGGGGGCTACTCGTCCCCTCCGCTTCGAATCCCCCTCCCCCTCTTCCAGATGTGCTCTTGCCGCTTGCCCTAACTCTTGCGCTACGCTGTCTCGCTCGCGCGCGCGCTCTCTCCCCCTCACACAAGATACCTACGTACACCAAAAGTTGCCGGAAATTTTATTTTGTTTACTTGGGTGTTGAAATCTACGCGGGACAGGTAGGGTCTCCGGAAAGATCTGTAGTGTCCCCGCGGTGACTCTACCAGACCTTTTGACCTGGGAGGTCTAGGAGCATTAGTAGCTGGAGGAAAGGTCTCAGCGGGTGGCCGTAAGGAGGGGGAGAATGAGCTCTTCTTGGGGGGTAAGGGGTGAACGCATCCTTGGTGCTGGCGGAGAAGAAAAACCCTTTCCTGTTCTGACCTGAATTTAGCTCAGAAAGAAGTTTCCTCTTCTTGGGCAAGAGAACCTCTGGGCGCTGGAGAAGCTGGAGCGCGGGGATCGGAGCTGGAGTAGAGGAGAGAGGAAGGGGGAGGGAACGGGGGGCGGGACCCGGTGTAAGTGCAGCTTTGGGGGGAGATCCTGTGGCTTCCTAGCCTTGATCGGGATCTGGGGATTGGAGCGGGAAACTTCTGACCGGGTTCTGCCGAGGGAAAATGGGGTATCTTTCCCAGGGTGGAAAGTGTCATGCCCGGTGGCGGCTCAGTGGGGTCAGAGTTGGGTGGCCTGCAGGAGCGCACGTTTTTTATGGGGTCTACTCACCGGCTTTTGGCGGAGTTACCATGCGAGGACGTGTCAATAAATTGGATGTTATGGGATGTTGGCAGCGTAACAGATTTGGAGGTATTCCGGGGCAAAAATGGTTTTGGCTTTCTCGTTCCCTTCCCCCACGTCCCTGAGAGAAATAGTGATTTAGAGGGCTCTATGAGTGGCCCCTTACGGTTTCCTTCTCTCCCAAAAGCTTCTCTGTAGCTGACCGGAGGAGGGGGCCCTAGCTGGGCTAGGAGGAACCTCCGTCGGCCTGGGAAGAGAGTAAATGTGTGTGTGGTGGGGGCGCGCTTCTGGCAGGCGCGCTTTTGGGACTGCTTGGGGTGTACACAACCTGACATGCTCTGCTAGGGTGAAGGGAGAGGAAAGTGCCATTTGGTGTAGCTGGAGCAAGAAAGCCTTGGGTGGTGTCTGACGTTATAGCTCTCCCAGTCCAGAGCAGCAGGACACCTTTGTCCCCACCCGCCCTAATCCCCTGCTGCCTGGCCTCTTGAGTTTGAGATTAGAAAGAGATGCGTTCAGTCAGAGGAGCAGGAGCTCAAGGTCTTGCTCTTTGCCCTCCTAGAGGGAGGACATATTCCAGAGAAGTCAGTTCTGCCCAGGACTAAGACCTGGGCAAGCGGCACGGTTTGGGTTCTCCTCACCTCTTCCTTATCCCAAGGAAGTAAGGGAAGCTAGTCAGGTTTTATTGCCTGGGTTCCTGTCATCTGCAGAAGAGTTGTTTTCTAATGACTTGTTAGGATTCTACTGGCATCATTTTCTATGGAAGAAAATACAGAGTCTGTTCAAGTCTTTTTACCAAAGCTTAAAGTTGAGCACTGCATATACCCAGGATGGCCACAGAGGGGACCAACACTAAAGGGCAGAAGGCCTGTTAATCTTTTCAGAGATGTCTCCTGTTCAGCCAACCATGAGCATCTCCCATATACCAACCATATTTAGTAGGATAAGTTCTTGAACACACAGTTTCTTCTTTTTTTAAATTTAAATTGTTTTGAATAATACTTTTTATACAGCAGATGAGGAGACCAAGACTTATGGGAAGTTGATGCCATAGGATCACCCAGCTAGAGAGTGGCAAAACCTAGAATTCTCGCTCAGGACCATCTCTCATGGATCCTGCCTTTTAGGATCTTCCAGATGGGGAGAGAAAAGTAATATTTCTATTTCCCTGTATTCTAATTCAGTGGCTCAATAAACTGGAAGCAAATACCTAGTCATAATTCACAGATATTGAGTTCAAATAAACCTGGATTTGTTGATGCTAAGAAGGTTCATAACTTACAAGGGCAGAGACATTGGTATCTTTCTGAATTCACAGAACAGAACTTAGATGTTGTAGAATCAATGGGGAGGGGGGCAGAAATTGCTACCCAAACCACTTTTGAACAAGCAAACATTGCAGTGTCCCCCAACCTTACTTGGCTTTTTCTTTTAAAAAGTAATACTAAGAAAGTTTACATATAAATAACACCAAGTACTATTTAATGTGTTTTTTTACAACCTCATTGAGGAAATTTATAGCTTACAGAGGTTACACAGGACCCCTTGAATTGATGCCATAACCAGTGTAAAAGGATCAGCTATTCTACAGTATAAACCCTTTCCTCTGTAGATCAAAGGAGCATATGCCTATGCTAAGTCTTTGGGGTGGTAAATTGAGTTCACACATGCAATATCATTGAATTGTAAGGGCCAACTGTATTTCTTATTCATCCTTTACTGCACTGACCTTTTAACACTTTACACATCCTTTTGTTATTCTTTCTTTTCATCAATAAACCAGCTGTAGTTCAGCTAAGGGCAGTAACCAATTTACAAATGTCAATTTACAAATTTTTACCCAGTTGGGCTTGGGGGGTCTCTTCTCCTGTGTTGCAGATTGAAACTAGAGCCTGTTACTATTTCTGAAATCATCTACTGTACTGGTAGTATTTTTGATATCTTCAGTAAGATAGGGAGGCGAGTAAGGTAGTGAATTTTCACCATAGTAAAGGTACACTCAGAATATCAATGTAATGGTTTCTGTAACATCTTAGCATTTAAAAGTAATAAGAGGTAAAATTTCTGGCCTAGAGATGTATACCGAAAAGAATAGCTATGCCTCTTCTGTTTAGAAAAGATAGGATGTGCAGAGTGATACTAGAAGCAATCAAACAAGCTAAAAGGACATGCTTGTCTTCTAGAACGGAACAATAATGAGGGTTTTCCTGCCTCTGGTTATGGAGATAGCATTATGTTTTGGTAGGTTTTACAAAAATGTTTATATTTTGTTAATGGTTATACCTTGAAATTCTGAAGTGATACCCAGCCATAATCATTTTTAGTTGCTGCTATTATGTCAGCATATATCATGTTTGCTTGATATTAACATCAGCTATAGAATGCTTTGCCTTTCTTCCCTAGGAGCTCCATCTCTGACTACAAGTCCCTTTAGTATCTAGTACCACCAGGGTGGCTGGGGGTAGGAGGTGTGCATGCCTCTTGGCCTGTTGGGGGAGGAGGAAGAGGCCTTTGTCCTTTTCACTAATTTGTGTGCTCTGACCCTTTGAACTAACAGTCTACTTGTTACAGAGTTTAAATGACATAAAGGAATACGACTGGACATATTGTTAATTGTAGACCTTAGTTTGGACAAAATCTACAAAGAGGCATTAATTTCTGGTTATTGGAGTCCAGGAAGAAGATCCCTTTTGAACAGATGGTTTGCAATGTGCAATAGCTGTGTTTATCCTTCTATGAGTTGCCTATAATCCTTGATTCCAAGCCTGAGATTACGAGGGGCAAAAACCCCCTCCCCAAACCATATAATTCATCTTGAACAAGACTCCAGAGGGATAAAATTAGATGCATGCCATACTGAGGAAATATTTTACCTGGAGTCCCCATGGACAGCCTGTGGACTTCGAAATTGCAAAGGCCACTTCTCAGGCTGCAAAAGCGGGAAAGTCACTGAACTTAATGGAGCCCCTGTTCCTTCATCTGTAAAATGATAAATCTCTAGATAATAGAGTGAGTTAACTATGCATTGCTCAGCACATAGTTAGGCTTGCAGTAAAAGGTTTGTTGAATCTGAATCAGAGGAGAAAGGTTGAACTAAGTGAGATCCAAACTTTATTGAGATGCCAAGAAAGGAAGACATTTTAAAAATGGAAAATGCAAAATGTAAAGATTAGGGAGACACATTTTTGATGGCCTAGTTAGACGGGCTTTGTAGACATGGAAAATGATTTTCTAATTCAACTAACAATTTTAAATAGCTAAATAGTTGTATGTTTGATTCTAAACAATTATGGCTGATTTCCCATGGCAGTGCCACCCTTCTCTCACTAATTCTTGTTGTAGCTTTATTAGGTATTATAACATAAACTTGTTGGAGATGGGAGAAAGGGGAAGAAAATATCTGAAGAGTGATTATTTTATAGAGTATCTTGCCTAAGCTTATTATGTTAAATCATATTTGAATTTATATTCTTTTAAATTCTTAGACTACAGCTTGTACAAGTAAAATCAGAAGACCAGTTTTCCAACTAAGTAGGAAGAAGCTGGTTCATAGATGGCCTGAAGGCCTCCCACTCACTCTGCAGATTAATTTTGACCTTTGAGTAATAGGATGCTTGAATTGCAGATATATGGTAGGGATTGAGTTCTGGGTGCTTATGGATGGCACTGGAAATACAGGACATGCATGGCTAGTCTGTTGGGCTGTTTGGGAATGGGCTGTGATCCCCCAGATCCTCCAGTTCTTAGGCATTTTATAAACAGAAGAGTAAATTGATGTTGTAGTCCCAGGTTGATCCCTGTGTGAAACGTTTGGCTTTGCACACAGCAGCTCTTCACACCCAAGAGCCTCAGCCCTGACCTCTGCCAGCCACTCTCACGTGCTTATTTCTCATGCTTATTTCTTGTGATAAAGTAAACAGGAGAACAGGGGAATATTGACTGGAAAAAGCAATTTGGAGTGCACAGCCTGATGTTGTTGGGTCTGTGTCTGCAGCATTAACTTCATAGACAAGAAATGGGGATTTTCAGTGTATATTTGAAATGAAAAACTATTTATTTATTTATTTTTTTGAGGAGTCCCAAAGCAGCTGAATTTGCCTTCTTACTATCTTTCATGGGCTGATATCCAGAAGTCTTAACCTGAAAGGTCAGCCAGAGAAGCAGGGTAGTATGCTGGGAAAATATCCAGTGCTCTCTGACTCTTTGGCTGAGA